CTCTCTCATACACTAAAAACACGTATCCTCTTTCGCGCTGGCGTTAAATGCTCTCCAAAACAACGCATCCATCCGTTCACTAAAGTCGTGTTTACACCCTCCACACACACACAGACCACTACCACTTCTGCCATAATTTTCTTTTCCCACTCTCTTTGTTTTATGCCAAAAAAATCGATCGTGTCCCTGTCTCTTCTTTTTATCTTGTTGTGGTTGTTAGTGTTCTTACTTTCGGCTAATTTAGGGCTAAACAGGGGGAGGGGAAAGATGCAGGGGCTCTTGTGAGTGATGAGCAATTGAACAGAGGGTGCTTGTGCATTGAAAAGTTGAAGGTTGAACGACAAGACAACTATAAACAACTTTTCTCTCTTGGGATATCTGTCTCGTTGTTCTTCATAATAGTAGTAGATAAACCCTGGGGGGGGGGGGGGGGGGATGTGTGAGAGAGAGAGACTGGCCATCGTGTGATCGATGGATTAAGTTGTGAACTGTCCATGTTCGAGCCCAGCCAGTACATGTCCATGTTCATTGTCCACTTATTGTCCATTCATCCACATCTCCAACTTTCGCGTCCGCACTATCATCATCATCATCATTATTCGTTTACGTATCCTCATCTGTTCCCCTTCCCTTCGCCCTGACATTCAACTGCTCCTTGTAAATATAACCACTGTCCGTTCGTTTCCTTTTCTTTTCTTTCTTTTCTTCTCCCTTCTTCTTCTGCACCACCCATACCTCTCCTTTCATTGTCCGTCCCTTTCCATTTTTTCTTTTATTCTTTTTATACTTCCTGAACACAACATTCACGCCTGGCATTCAGCAAGGTCAACAGCCAAAAACTCAACCTTGTCTGCGCCCTCGGTTGATCCCTCCTCTTAACGCCTCTCTCTCGTCTTGTGCACTTTCGTCCTCTTCCTTCCTTACTTCTTGTTCTTCATCCTACACTTTTCACCCTTCCCTCTCTCACTCTCAATCATTCAACAATGGTGCGCGTATTTGCCTCAATGGCGGGTCTGCTCGCCTTGTCCTCGGCCGCCCTTGCTCAAAGTAAGTCTTTCTTGGTTTTTTTCAATCAATGTTTTTCTCAAATCTATGCACCACAACCTACCACACACCTTCATTTTTTTTGGGGCAGTTAATGTCCTTTCCAAAACACCACACCACACCATTCTATTTCCCCTGAAACAACCAACCAAGAATTCGGCCTATATTCACGGCGGTTTTCTCCTCAGTCTATTTCAGTCTCCTTCTGTTACTCTTCCTGTACCCCTTTTCGTATTCTTTGCGAAGATTGCAGTATCTCTTTTTTCATTTCTATCCTGCCCATGAACGTGCCATGGATCTTTGGGACACGCAGTAAAATTTGTTCATTTTTTTCTTCTTCATCTTTCACCATCTTGCCTTCTCGTGCGTATTTTCAACGCAGAGGCGGCTTTCGTCTAAATTTTGTTCAGTCGACAATACGCGACTCGACCATTGACCACACACGTGGAAGAGACAAATTAAAGACATGAGCAAAGACAAAGCGTGCGAGACGAAACAATAGGGGGCGGGGGAAGTGTTTTGGATAATTGTCGGGCTTGTTTGTGAATGTGAACTAGTTTTCTTGGCCTCATGCTTCATGCTTCAGGCTTCATGCTCGTCATGCCTTGCTGGCTTTTTTATCTGGAGGACTCACATTCGGCACTACGGATTTCCGTTTTGGACGAGGGGAGGACGGAAGTGGGGTAAAGTCGTCAAAGAGGAGGAAAGGAGTGGAGTAACACTGTAAAAGGGGCACAACTAGAAGAGGAAGAGGAAGGGAGAAGCGGGGAAGGAGAAGAGGTGGCTCCTATTTGGACACTTTGGTTTTCTTTGTTCTTGGGATGGGAGTCAAACCTCGTGCATCTATACTATACATGCAGTGCTGTACACACACCATCAAGAAGAAAAGATGCAATACCTCCCCCTTTTTGTTCGTGAATTTCTTTGCTCCACACTCAAACGCCCATTGCACACGACCATTGCACATGACTGTTGGGCACGACCATGGCACACGACCAATCTACTCTCCACACATACAAATTCACTCACTCTCTCACATGACACTGCCACACCTCCTCTCCAGCTCAACCTAACAACTATCCATAATTTATACTCGGTCCGTTGTTATTCCACCCTGGTGGAGGGCGAAGGCTTTATGAACGTGAAAAGGCAAAAAAGTGTAGTAAACAAACATTTGGGCCAGCCTAGGGCTAGGGCTCAGAATTCCTCGCATGCACATGTTTACCCAAATTAGTCGGCTCACAGCCTTCTCCTCCACTGGACACAGGAAGAACATACACATATCAGCCACATTCTTTGTACATCTCGACACAGACACAGACACAGACACAGACACAGACACAGACACAGACACAGACACAGACACAGACACAGACACACACCCTTGCATGCGCATATAGGAACCTACTGCTCCCGTTCAGTTTGCGATTTGTTTACATTCATTTTGAGAGGGACAATGCGCATCATATTCATCCCTTTCCATCCAACCATCTCGATAGTTACCTTCAACGTGATCGGATACCCCTCCGCACCCACAAACACATTCGGAGTCTCTATCAACGGCGTCATCACAAAGCTGGTCGCTGACGAAACCACCTTCCCTGTCTGGAAGGGTGTCGTCCCCACCGCCACCTCCTCAGTCTCGTACCAATACGTCGAGCTCAACGCCGCGGGAACCGCCGTCAAGACCGAGTCCTTCTCCCGCACTCTCCCCAAAGTTGACAGCACTCACAGCTACAACGAGTTCTTTGAACGCCCCACCACCAAGTTCGCCCTTCCCCCTATCCCTTACACCTACCTTGCCACCTGGCCCTCTTACACCAAGATCTTTAACGATGACGAGATTGCTACTATCCATGTCACCGCTGACGCCGCCCAGATGGCTACCCTCAATGCCAACCCAACCGCTAGCAGCAAGGACATACCCGACATCCGAGTCACCTTCCGCTGGATCGACCATAACGAGATTTATACGCAGTACAACATCTCGTTCATCAATTCTGGCAAATCCTCCAAGGAGCACCGGAAGCAGGCCTGGAGGTTTGACTTTGACACCGATTACAACCAGACCTTCTTTTCGAGGCCACACGTCAAGCTGAGGTCTGGGGCTTCGGATCCGACCATGTTGAGGGAGAAGACTTATATTGATCTACTCAACTCTGCGGGTATCCCGACTCAGCAGGGGCAGTATGTGAGGCTGTTTGTCAATAACCAGCCTTATGGATTGTTCCTGATGGTGGATGATATCAGGAAGTCGTTTATTAAGCAGACTATTCATGGTGGTTATCCTTCTATTGTTAGTGGCTCCATGGTCCAGGTATGTTGTTGCTTCTCTTCTGGTTTTTTTTTCTCTCTCGTCTTCATTCTTACTCGCATCTTTCTCCTGTGCTTACATTGCTGCCTACATCTTCGTTTCTTCCATCTTTTCTTTTTATTCCTCCTTGTTTACAACATAGATGAACGCACCCGGGGGCAACATAGAGGCAGACCTCATCTATAAGGGCCCCACAAGCGCCAACTACGACGAAGGCTACGATATCATCAACATCGGCAACAGCCCCATCACCGACCCTCTCCAACAACTCATCACATTTATGAAAGACCTCCAAGACTTCAACCCCGCCACTACACCTAACCCCATCGCCTACTGGAACGACACCCGCCTCGACTTGGATGGTTTTCTGCGCTGCATGGCTCTCGAGTACCTTACGGGCGCCTTTGACAACTACTGGAGGTCGGGATCGAACTATTTCATGTATTTTAACCCGACCCTGGGCGCGCAGGGCAAGTGGCAGTGGATCCCGACGGACTTTGATGGCACCCTGGGGAACGGATACCCGGGCTCGACTATATTGTCGTACCAGACTTGGGTAGACTTCGCGCCCAACGACCACCCCCTCGTCTCAAAGCTCATCCTCAACAACACGGCCATCAATCCCCACTTCGAACAGACACTCAAAGAGCTCGTCCAAACCGTCTTTAAGCCCGAAGCCTTCTTCCCGCGCATCATGGCCTATAACCAGATGCTATCCCTCGATTACCTTTGGGATGTCTCGATTAACCGCACGGGACCCGGAAAATTCAACGGATTCACTTTTGATGACTTTAACAATAATTTGGTCAATGACACCGGGCATATGAGTTATTCAGTCAAGGGGTGGATTACGGATATGAGTACCTTGGTGTCGACGCAGTTGAAGTTTGAGATCCCGGCTGGAGTTCAGAACAGGGTGGATCCTCCTCCCAAGCCGACCAAAGGCTCAGGAAAGAATGGTGGTGGTGGTGGTGGTGGTGGTGGTGGTGGTGGTGGTGGTGGTGGTGGTGGTGGTGATGATGGTGAGAATGCGTCCGGGAATGGTGCTGCTACCGGGAGGTCCATGGCTGGTGGCGCGGTGGCGGCGGCTGTTGTGGTCGGTGTTGCGTCGTTGGTTTCTTTCTTGTTGTAGAGCGACCCCACTCCACGCCACATTTTCCCTTTTTTTTTTATAAAACTAGTGCATAACAGTAGTACAACTCCTCATGCACCCAATACTCCCTTTTTATCATTTTTTCCTTCCATTCATTCATTTGATAAAACAAAGTAAATAAACTAGCGCAGGCTTTTTTACTTACACAAAATAACACAAGACTCATGATAGCATGCATGGGATGGACAAAGGGGTGTGGAGAAAGAGTTGGCGTTTTAATTGACCTAGATAAGGCGAGTACATACTGTAGGTCCATATTCACTCGGCCAAATCGAAGTAGTTCCATGTTGTAGCCATTGATGCACTCGTCTCCAGGTTCTCGTTGCAGAACATAGCGACCTTCCTCGCTGAGATATGTGCGACTGCTGAGCGGCCTCGGGTAATTGAAACGACACTCCTTGTACTCGGACTTGCAGTAGGCAGTATGCTTATGGGTCTGGTGCTTGGCAACAAGTGCTCTGTCCTCTGCTTTCTCTTGACTCACTGAGCAAGTGATGATATTGTCGTCAATCATCTGCTCAATGGTGTTGTTTGTCCAGAGACAAAAGTGGGTATGTGGGGTTCCGCGGTCCAGTAGTTCGAATACTCAGCACCACGCTCGTGCTCCTCCAACTCGCTTTCTGCCCATCCCGGTCGACCCTTTCCGGACTTCACAACCTAGTTCCAGAAACGAAACCACTGTCTCTTCTAGTGCATAGTGAAAAGAACAGGATCGTCATGTGTATTGGCCCCAGGACCACCAAAATGCTCGGCAAGGGCGACTTGACCAGCACTTCGGTTGTCACAAGTGAACGTTCCGAATAACTCCGGGGTGCCAAATTCTTCGAAAAGGGCCGAAAATTTCTGAAACAGTAAATTCTTGTACTGGGCGCCAGTTCGGATAAACGGAGGTATGGCAACGGTGCGAGATTCCCGGTACTTTGTCCCTATTACCCAGTGCACGCGCATAGTCAGTGTTGATCGAGCAATAGGGTTGGTGACTCTCCCTTTAGCTTCCCATTCAGATAAACATACTTTGTCCATTATTTGAGCGCTCCAAGATGTCATAGGTTCGAGTAGCTCTGCCTGCAGTCGTGGTGGAGGCGAGGCGCATCTGATAACTAAAAATGGCAGATTTCTGGATCCAATCGAACATCATCAGGATAAACTTGACATTTCGGCCCCAGCGTCTATCCACACTCAGCAGGCGAAACTTGGCATAGCTCTTGATCGTGTACTTGGAGTACTTGGTTTCGCCGCCTGGTCCAATATCAGCCTCTATTTTGTCTGGTAAAGATGGCACGTTGGTTAGCCGTTTGCGGTGTTTCGGCACCTTATCTTCTATGCATCCAGATCAAAAAATGTCCCCTAAAAACCCCTAAAAAAACCCTGAAGACCCTAAAAAACCGAATTACCTTCGCTTTCATCGTTCTCGTCACTTTTTTCGCCATCAGAACTCGACCGCGATATATATCCTTCAACATCTTCTTCATGGTAATCATTCTTGTCCACTAAATGTTTATCAATATTATCTAATAATTTCAAGAGGTGTATCGATCAGTTACAGCCCTGCCTTAGAGCCACATGTCTAAAGACCTACGATGAGTATAAAGCCTACCGTCATAATATTGTATTCTCTGATTCTGATCGCCCTCGATGCCGCCATAATCCTTTGAAAAGAATCCTCGACCTTTGGGGTAGAGGGTAGGGAAGAGATATCCCAGGAGGCATGGGTTTGAAAACTTGATGAGTTGCTGATCACGTCCTAGAATTCCAATAACCATGTCGTCCAGATAACTCGACTCGTCTGCCGTTCTTGGACCACCGGTGCCGACTGGTCCCATATGGTATGCGCGAAGTGGTCAACTACTTTCTTCGTAGCGTTCATCAAGTCGCTAGGCTCATCGACATCCAACTGTCTTATCGGCGGGTGGTTTTGCTTCATCCAGTCCCAGGAATTGCATATTTTTTGATTCTCTTCATCGTCTATCTCGACCTTCATGTCTGACAGCTTGATCAAACCGCGCGTGCCAACGTGGGCTCCTAGATATTCGTTATTCCTGTAAAGCCCAATTCTGCCTGACACGAAAAGATGACCTGCTCGGGTTGTGCGGGTCAGCTTACTGCGAGAATTGGTCAACTCACAGAACACTAAGATCGAAGAGAGGAAGCCTTCTGCATTTGGATGCAGGTTCCGGAGTTCGTCTGGCTGAGGAGCTGGATACATCCAATGCTTGTTGACAAAACGTATCTAGATTTTGCATTTACAGGAGCATAAGTTCCATATTCCATTCGTTGGTGAGTGCATCAGATGCGATTCACAATTTAACTTACGTAGTCCATGATTGTATTCAGGCTCTGGGCTCCACTTGATTTGTGTCTGGCACATACAATAACATATTCTTCTCCCTTACCCCTGGGGTAATGGATATTGAGGTTCTTATCTACTCTCCGTTGTAGTCGCGATAATTTAGCAAAGGCCACGTTATTTTTCAATTTTATCCACAGTTGCACCGTGTTCTAGAGCGTTTCTCCGGTCTTTGGGAAACATGTTCTCAATCCTCGTCTTGTGAGCCAAAGATAGCTTTCAGTAATCCTTAGGATATAAGAGCCTGCAGCAGACAGCGCAGCGTTTTTCCGGTACTTCCTTGTCCGTCTTGGTCTCATTGGTGAATGTCTTTGGTAGGAAATATAGAGGCGTGCCTCTAATTCGTTTAGGCGCTTGGGGTCTCTGCTCGGTTCGATTAAGAATAAGGGGGCTATCGTCTCCAGATGACTCGTCCTGGCTTGGTAGGTCCAAAGGGGACTGCTTTTTGATACTTAGTTAAATAAAGGGTAGTAAGGTATAGGTAGTTGACTGCTGCTGACGAGATTAGGGATGGCGATTACATGTAAGCCCTGTTGCCTTACTTGAGTATTTAAAGATAGCAAAGCAAAAGATAAATTTGCCTTGTATGTGCTCTCATGTGGCTAGACATTGATAAAAAATTAATGATAGGTAAGATTGGTGGCTGAAGTGGCTGATTATCATATTTCGCTCTGGGTGGTTCGAATGTGGCGAAAAGATTGTTCTAGCGACCTATTTAGGACAAATGTAAAATGTAATTTGGATACTCATGCTCAATGGGACGCAAGTAGGTTGGGATGGTTGGATGGTTGACAGATGGTATGTGATATCGACTGCGGAATTGAAGAAATGGTGCAAAAAAATATATCTAAGGGTATAATAACTGGCTTGTGGCAGCCAAGCGTTCATAGCGACGTTGCTTTTTGATCCTTCGATGTCGGCTCTTCCTATCATACTGAAGCAGAATTCAGTAAGCGTTGGATTGTTCACCCACTAATAGGGAACGTGAGCTGGGTTTAGACCGTCGTGAGACAGGTTAGTTTTACCCTACTGATGAAATGTTGTTGCAATAGTAATTGAACTTAGTACGAGAGGAACCGTTCATTCGGATAATTGGTATTTGGGCCTGCCTGAGCAGGCAATGGCCCGAAGCTATCATCCGTTGGGTTATGGCTGAACGCCTCTAAGTCAGAACCCGTGCTAGAACGCGACGATTACCGCCTTTTCCGATTTTTAGTTGAATACGAATAGATCCTCGGATCCTGAATCATACTACGTGGGGTTATCTTGCAGAGCGGAAAGGCTTTGTGAGGTTCCTGCTAATGTTAATTTCAAATATTGGAAGAGATAAATCCATTGCAGACGACTTTAATTGAACGGGGTATTGTAAGCAGTAGAGTAGTCTTGTTACTACGATCTGCTGAGATTAAGCCCATTGTTCTATAGATTTGTTCGAAAGAACAACATCTCCTCTCTCTTTCTTCTTTTTTTTTTTTTTTTTTCTTGTGTGGGCGTTGTTAAGGGCCATTCATCAAAACATGAAGCGACCAAGATGGCCACGCCATGTAAAAAAATCCTGTGTCGTGCCAGAGCGGTGTAAAAAAATCCTGTGCACGACCCGTGTAAAGAGTGTCGTGCCAGAGCCGTGTTAGAATCCTGTGTACGAACCATGTAAAAAATCTCAACGCCCTCGCCTTTGAAAAAAAAAAAAAAATCTTCATGGGGGGGTGGCATTCGACATGTGTAGTGTGGTGACAACTCCTCGCTCGCCAGTGAGGAAAAAAAAAAAAAAAAAAAAAAAAATCTTCATGGGAGGGTGGCATTTGACATGTGTAGTGTGGTGACAACTCCTCGCCCGCCAGTGAGGAGAAAAAAAAAAAAAAAAAAAAATCCTCATGGGAGGGTGGCATTCGACATGTGTAATGTGTTTGGTGACAACTCCTCACCAGTGAGAAAAAAAAAAAAAAAATCCTCATGGGGGGGTGGCATTCGACATGTGTAATGTGCTTGGTGACAACTCCTCCCCTCGCCAGTGAGTGAGGGGGGGTTTTTTTTTTGTTCGTTCTTTGAGGCCTGGCATTCGATATATGTTTGGTGACAAACACTTACTTTTAAGTTACGGCCATACACAACTAAACCCACCGCATCCCGTCCGATCTGCGCAGTTAAACAGTTGATGGCATAGTCAGTACTATGGTGGGGGACCTGTCAAGAAAGCAGACCAAGCAATAGAATGAAGTAGATAAAGAGAACCTTGATCAAGGACTAGGAAATGAGTATAAGGAATAGGTTAAAGCGTATGTTGTATTGGCGATACCAAGTAAAGAGCCATAGATTTGCTATCTAAGGCCCTTTTATATTTGTTAGGGCGAAGTCACAAGAGCAAGCTCTTGTCTCGTGACAACCTCCCCCTCTAGGGCCGAGTTCCAAGAGGCCTTTGGCTGGGTTTGTGAGGGTGTTGCAGATGGAACTCGCGAACAAGGTCCGGGGAATTTTTGACACAGGCGGCCGGTTCCCAGGTTCGTTCGGATACGGGGTAGCCTCTCCAATGTATATAGTATTCAAGGTGGTTGCGCCTGATCCGTGAATCCAAAATGGCCTCAACCTCGTACTCCTCATCGCCGGAGACGACAAGCGGAGGAGGTCGTTTTGG